AAAAAAAAAAAAAAAGAAAAAAAAAGGAACTTTTGGTTAAAATTAATAAATTAAGCAAAAATTGTGCAAACTCCACTGCAGAAGGAAAATGAAATGAAATTTCAGAGTGTATAAAAAAGCAGAAGTGATGCTGTGTTGTCAGCATGGGAAACCCAGAGCTGCTTTTTTCTTCTGTTAAAAGAATATTTGAATTTATAATTAGATCTATAGAAAGAAATAGAAAGAAATCTTCAATATTGGATATTGAAAGGTGAAAGAAGCAATGGGGGAAATCTATGAATTGTGTAAGAATTAAAAATTAAAAAGGGAGGGTTGTACATTAAAGGGGAATCTCGGGTATCAGGGGTTTGGGAAATCTGTGCCTCTCAAATACCTCAGAAAATGGGGAAAGAGAGAGGGAAATGGGGCTGGGAAATTGGGATAAAATGGGAGATGAAAAAATTCGAGCGATGCCAGGGGAATGTCCCATGACCTCTCCCTTTATTCGAATAAAATAAATTAACTCTGTCTCCTTTTTGGACATAAACCTCTAAAATTAACATGAATTAATTTTCCTAACACTGCGAGAATAAATTGATTTTTTTTCCCGTGCAGGGAGGGAGGGAATCCAGCTTGCCCCATCCTGGCAGTGCCAGGCATTGCCCAAGAGCTCTCGCTAATTTATTTATTTGATTTTTTTTTTTTGTGTCCCTTTGTGCTCTCCGGGAGCCGGGGGTGTGCCCGGGGCTCCCGATCCATCCCGGCCATCCAGGGCCACACCCGCGCTGCCTCCTGTGAAAAGGAGCTGCGGTGTCCCCAACCTGCCCCGCAGCGCCAGCAGCGCCAGGTGAGTGGCACAGGGTCCCCTCCAATGGCTCAGGGTCCCCTCCAATGGCTCAGGGTCCCCTCTTGTGGCACAGGGTCCCCTCCAATGGCTCAGGGTTCCCTCCATTGTCACTGGGTCCCCTCCAGTGTCACCGGGTCCCCTCCAATGGCTCAGGGTCCCCTCCAATGTCACCGGGTCCCCTCCAATGGCTCAGGGTCCCCTCCATTGTCACAGGGTCCCCTCCAATGGCTCAGGGTCCCCTCCAGTGTCACAGGGTCCCCTCTTGTGGCACAGGGTCCCCTCCAATGGCACTGGGTCCCCTTTAATGTCACCGGGTCCCCTCCATTGTCACAGGGTCCCCTCCAATGGCTCAGGGTCCCCTCCAATGTCACTGGGTCCCTTTTAATGTCACAGGGTCCCCTTTAATGGCACAGGGTCCCCTCCATTGTCACAGGGTCCCCTCCAGTGTCACAGGGTCCCCTTTTATGTCACAGGGTCCCCTCCAATGGCTCAGGGTCCCCTCCATTGTCACTGGGTCCCCTCCAATGGCACTGGGTCCCCTTTTGTGTCACTGGGTCCCCTTTAATGGGACAGGGTCCCTTTTAATGTCACAGGGTCCCCTTCAGTGTCACCGGGTCCCCTTCAGTGTCACAGGGTCCCCTTTAATGGGACAGGGTCCCCTTTAATGGCTTAGAGTCTCCTTTAATGTCACCGGGTCCCCTTCAGTGTCACAGGGTCCCCTCTTGTGGCACAGGGTCCCCTCCAATGTCACAGGGTCCCCTCCATTGTCACAGGGTCCCCTCCAGTGTCACAGGGTCCCCTGCTGTCCCTGTGCCACCCCCAGCTGGCTCAAGGTGTGCCCAGCAATGAGCTGCCTCCATTCAATCCAAGTTTTCCAGCTGCTTTCCCCCAGCCCCAGGGTTTGGGTTTGTTTTTTTTTTTTTCTGTGCTTTGGGGCTCATTTTGGGGTTTGTGAAAGGTGTGCCCAGATTTCCACTTTTACCTTTCCTCCTTTGCCTTTGGGGTTGGTGTTCATTTATTCCTGATTGGATTTTTTTTTTTTCTCCAGATTTCCACTTAACTTTTACCTTTCCTCCTCTGTCTTTGGGGTTGGTGTTCATTTATTCCTGTTTGTTTGTTTGGGTTTTTTTTTTCACCAGATTTCCACTTAACTTTTACTTCTCCTCCTCTGGTTTGGGGTTGGTGTTCATTTATTCCTGTTTGGTTTTTTTTTCTCCATATTTCCACCTAACTTTTACCTTTCCTCCTCTGTCTTTGGGGTTGGTGTTCATTTATTCCTGTTTGTTTGTTTGGGTTTTTTTTTTCACCAGATTTCCACTTAACTTTTACTTCTCCTCCTCTGGTTTGGGGTTGGTGTTCATTTATTCCTGTTTGGTTTTTTTTTCTCCATATTTCCACCTAACTTTTACCTTTCCTCCTTTATCTTTGGGGTTGGTGTTCATTTATTCCTGTTTGGTTTTTCCTGGCTGAACTGAGGTGATTCCTGTGATTTTTCCAGAAATGCCTCCTGTGCTCCCAGGGCTGGGATTCCTCCTCCTGCTGGGTGAGTCTGCCCGTGGAGGGCTGGGGGTCAGTCCCACGAGGGATTCCCATCCTCCAAAGGGAAAATCGTGCTGCCAGTTCACTGCTGGTGACTTTGGTGGCTGCTCTAAACCCCCAAACCTTTCATTTTCCTCTTTGTTGTTGGGTCTTGTGAGGGAAATATTTTAGTTTTGGTGATAAACAAGGTGGGAAAAGTCCCACTGGGATTGATTCTCCTCCTGCTCCTCTTGCTGGACTATCCCGGTATCTCTGGGGAAGCACTTGAGGAATAATCATTAATCTGATTAACTGTATTAATTGAATAATAAATCAATTATGCAGTGCCATGGGGCAGGGACATTTTCCACCATCCCAGGTTCCTCCAAGCTGGCCTGGGACACTTCCAGGGATCCTCAGGGAAATCCATTCTGGGATTCCTCACGGGGAATAAATAATTCCTTCCCAATATCCCATCCAGCCCTGCCCTGGGGCACTTTGAATCCATTCCTCCTTCTCCTGCACCCCATTAGGGGAAGATTCTTTTAATTAGTGACAGCTCGCCACTAATTAAATCATTAAAAATCGGTAATGAAGAAAGGTGTTGCGCTAATGAAGTTTTCTCGCCCAAAGTGCTTTAGAACCCCCCTTGCTAAAGCAGAATTTTGGGATTGTGAGCTCATCCACAGCAGCAAAGCCACCCCTCTCCTTGTCTTGCAGGGTGGCAGGGAGCTGCTGCTGGGACACAGCTGGTAAGGCTCTTCTGTGTTTAAAAAAATTGAAATTTGTGTGTTTAAAACCTCCAGTTCCACCCCTCCCCATTTCTCTGGAATCGCCCTGACCCCGCGCTCAGATCCCCAGAACATTCCCTGCCCGTGCCCGAGGGATGGCATCAGCTGGCACTCGAGATGCAGAGCCAGGGACGTGGGTTTGGGGTTTGGGGTTTGGGGTTTGGGTGTGTCCAGGTCCCATCCCAACCCTCAGAGCTGCAGCGATCACAAAAAACACCAGAAATGCATTTTAACACCTGCCCTTTTCTGTTCCTCCTGCTGCAGTGCTCCAGCTCCCCCGTCAACGGTGAGTTTCCTTCCAAATACCAGCAAAACCCCGAGAGGGTTCCGTGTGCCAATTCCTCTCACAATTCCTTGGTTTTGTCTTTTTTTTTTTATCATTTTTTTGGTGTGTTTTGGGATCAGAATCTGCCGTGTGTGCCTCAGTGCAGAGGTAGGTGAGCCACCCCCAGCCAGTGTGGCAGCATTTCCTGCAGGGGGGATTCTGGTTTCTCGGGGTAACAAGATTCCCCCCTAAACCCAGATTTTGTGACTTTTTTTTTTTTTTTTTCCCCTGAAAAGCCCCGGGGTTGGCTGTGGGCAGGGAGGGCTCTGCTTGCACTTGTTCAAACAATGAAAGTGCCTTGCTGGGTTGTTTTTTTTTTCTTTTTTTTGTGTCTGTGCAGGACAAAGAAAGGCAGGGCCAGCCCTGGGGAGGCAGCCAAGAACCTTGGCACTGATTCTGAGCTTATCTTGGCTCTGAGTGGGGCTCAAACAGCTCCACTCCAGAACCTTTTTAATAAATAAACCTGGTTTATACCCGAGGGTCAACAGGGCAGGTTTAAATCGCTGTCCCTGCTTGCAGAACTCTCATCCTGTGTTTGCTGAGCTCTGCTCTGGATCCTTCCTGGGCTCTCACCTTGCCTGGGGGGGACAAAGCAGGAGCCAAAACCTGCTCAGGGACACTCCGGTGCCTTTGGGCTCTTTGTCCAGATGTGCTCTGGGCTGGCTTGGCAGCTGAGGGGGGCCAGTTCACATCTGGATCTGTCCCCAGCCAGTCCTGCCCCCACCCGATTGTTCCCCATCCAGTTCTTCCCAGTTTCGAGCCCATCATCTCCCAGTTCTCAGCCCAGTTCCCCCCATTCCCAGCCCATCCTCTCCCA